GTGGCCCTCCCTGGGACCCTGGCTTGATTTCATTCCCTCTTACTCCCAACTATGGCTAGGTAGCTGTTTCAAGGAGCCCAGGAAATTCTCCCCATGAAGCTGTCCCAAGAATGTACACATATAGGCCAGTGCCCTGGCTCACTTGGCTAATCCTCTGCCAGTGGCGCCAGCACCCCAGGTTCTAGTCCTGGTTGCTCATCTTCCAGTCCAGCTCTCTGCTGTGGCCTGGGAAGGCAGTGGAGGATGGCCCAAGTGCTTGGACCCTGTACCCGCATGGGAGACCAGGAAAGGCACCTGGCTCCTGGCTTCGGATCGGTGTAGCGCCGGCCGTAGCGGCCATTTGGGCGGTGAACCAACGGAAAAAGGAAGACCTTTCTCTCTGTGTCTCTCTCTCTCTAACTCTGCTTGTCAAAAAAACGAAGGAGCCTCTGGGCTCTTCCTGGGTTGGGGGTCATGAAGAGAGAGTGAGGAGCTGAGGGAATAGTAGTCAGAAAGTGGAGAGGTCATTCTATCAGATTCACCTTCCCCAGACAGGCAGGATGCTAGGGAAGATGACTGCACCCAGGCAGGTGTGGCTGCTTCCACAATGGTGCAGAGGACTGCGGAGTGCTCATGCTGATAATTTGGATCAAAACACATACAAATATCTATAGAAACACAGATTCTGCTTCTTGTCTTTCCACTGACAATTATAATCCCAGAGAGAGCATTCATCAAGGGACAGCAACCACCCTGGTACTCATCACTGGACACCTTCCTTCTTGGGTTCCTGTGTGTGGAGGACTCCATTATTTTTTTCAGCCACAAAAGGCGGAGGGAGAGAAGGGGAAGTCGGGACAGGCCCATTTCTGGAGCAGCAGCGCCATCCAGCGGAAGCTGTTTCAGAATGGCATACAGTCCATCCAGCACATCCCACGAGGAAGGCCCGGAACTCAGGGAGAGTGAGTTCAGTGCCCAGAGCCGGCACCAGCAAGGCTGGTGTGGAAAGTTGAGTGTAGGACTACCCACCCAGGGATCCAGAGAGGCCCTGTCTGCCAGGCTACAGAAGTCATGTGGGACAGTCCTCAGGGGCCGCCATGTTGCACAGCCTGAAGCTGAAGCATCCCAGGGCACTGTGTCTCTGCACAGGAGGGGAGGCAGCACTTCCTGACTCTCCCCACCAGGTCACAGCAGGGAGCCTGAGCAGCTCTGCCCCCCCCACACCCTCCCCCCCAGCAAGGCACTGTGTGAGTTTCTCTCCCTGTGCTCCACACCCTGCAGGTCTCACAGGAGCCCACAGCCTCTCCTCAGACAAAATGGCCGAGGCTTCTACAAGCCCCGCCCAGACATGGCGGCCACCAGTCTCCGGACTCTTCCAGGCTCGGACACAGAGGCTACAAGTCCCGGAGCTCAGCCCCTGCCACTGCCTGTTCCTGGCTTCCAGAGCCCTCCCGGTTCTGGGATTCCAGCTGGCCAGAGCTTGCAAGGGGGCCCCAGGAAGGGCACACACTCTCACTTCCATGCCAAGCCAGTCAGGCGCACGCTCACAGCCACCACTGGCGGCATCTGCAACGAATTCCTCTTGATGGCAGTATTGCACCACAAATGCAATTTGCCCTGTTCCTGCCAGTGCTCCCTCCTCCCTGTGCGCAGGAAAAAACACCCCGTGCAGTCCAAGGAGTGCACAGCATGGCTGCCCAGTTGAGGGGGTCACAGGAGGAGCTAGGGCAATGCACTGGGTGCTAAACAGACACAGAGCCCATGCAGCTTGGCCTCAGCACCCAGTGCTGGGCTGCCCTAGGGACCAATGTTCACTGGATGCTCCTTAGAACAACCCCCGTGGGTGTAGGGCACTAGAACCTAGCCAGGCCACACTGTCTGTACCGCAGTGGCTTAAGCCCTCGGGGATCCAATGGGCTCTGACCCATTCCCATTCTGAAAAGCGGCGGGCCGGACACTCTCACTGAACCTTGCCACACAGACTTGCTCAGGAAGTCCAGGGCAGCCAGATAATCTGAATCAGTCATTGACAAGTCATATTCTCATGATGTTTCACACAGGAAGACTTAAAGGGTCTGTAGCCAGAGGTAGTGGGAAGGAAGGGAGGGAAGGGTTACAGCCATCCCAGGAACACAGGCCTCAGTACCTCTGTACACTCACAGGGCTCTCCCCTGGTCTGCAGGCAATGAGGGTCCCACACTCAGGATAGAAGATGAGGGCCACAGCAAACACAGCGACTCTCCGTGCACCTGACCCAGGGTCACTGAGAACTCCTTACATTGGCAGAAGGAAATACATATTGCTGTTGACTAACAAATTAGGGGGAATCTCTATCCACAGTGCATCATTCATACTACTGTCCCAATGGAACAAGAAGGGTATACATATGCATATATGGACCTCATAAGGTGGGCGTGGCAAAGTACCTTTGAAGGCAGCCAGCCCAAACGTGATGGCAAGGGCGACAGGGCTCATTGCCGAAGACAGCTGGAAGGTCTTGGAGCAAAGGGCTCGGACCAAGCGCTCAGTTCACCCTGCGACGCTTATGATTGCAGTCAACAATTTGAAATGGCCAGCTCACCTGAGGCAGTCACCTCTCCACCTGCTTTCTTAAGGTCCGGCTCAGTTTATGAACCTCTTATAATCTTCCAAGACCTGGTAATGAAACGCTATGGGATAAATTGGATCATTATTACAAAATTGTCAAGTCAACATTGCTGCTGAATCTTAGTCTGGCCACAGGTTTCTTTCCCACTAAAACCTGCAGGGGTGATCACATGGCCAAACCCACGACAGCCTGTACTGTGCTGCTGGGCGGCCTGGGGTTCGGCTCTTCCATACAGGAGCACTGATCATGACAAGGGAAGGACCCATGAGCTGGAGCATTCGGCTATAAAATGTACGAGAGAAATTCTCTACTGCTATATGCGTCAGGCCAATAAGGTCCAGCAGTTTAAGCAGGATCCACGCCCAACAACGTGTCTTCACTCTCCTTTCAATGTGCATACAGGAGATGAATCGGTGTCTTATGAGGAATATGGTCTTCTTTAGATAAATGCAGTGTCCCTCTATCTCCTTTACCTCGTGGAAATGATTTCCTCAGGACACCAGATTATCTCTAACACTGACGAGAGGAGGAGATTTGGACATACAAAGAGCTGAAAAGTCAGGAGCAGCACTTGGACAGAGTGGGACTGTTACGTAGGAAGTCAGATATGAGCTTATGTGTGTGTGACAAAGGCTAAAGAAAAGACATCTATGTCCAGCATCTACATTTGCATCTCACAGTCATGCCGATAACTTTTCAGGGGCAGCAAAGTGCTCGCATCTTCCTCTGCCCCTCCTACCCTATAACCTGCCAGGTGGAGTTCCCAGCCCCTTCTGTCTGACAATCTTCCACAATCTCCCAGAAGCAGCCCAGTATCAGCATTTCAAATACGCTGCTCCGGATCCTGGATCCTGGGTTAGGACGGCGCCAGCTAGGCTTCCTCCTGTCCGACACCTGAAGAGGAAAACTCAGGAGCTTCTTAATATTTACATCCATAAAATCCTTTGTTTCAGGAGGAGATGTGTGAAGACAAAGACCCATCTCCTGAAAAACCCCTGGCCTCAACTGGACTGCACACTCAGCCCTCTGCCTCTATGCTGAGTCGGCTGCCTGCCTGCCTGCCTGCCTGCCTGCCCAGGTGTAATCTCTCCACTCAACCATGTAACCTTGCTCCTTCCCTCAGTCCCAGTGAGTGGGCACTCTCTCTCAGGTTCTGTCTGGAGAAGTGCCCACCCGTTCTTACGGATGTCCTTTCCCTACTAAACTTTGCTACTTTCCACTACTCTGCCTCACGCCTGAATTCTTTGTTGCACGAAGACAAGAACCCTGCCATTCACCGGTAACAGGACAACCATGAGAAAAGAGTCACAACAGAAAGATTTCTGCAAGCCAAGAAGCAACAACTTAGAAGAAACTAAACCTGCTAACACCTTGAACTTGGGCTTCTGACTGAACTTCGGCTTCAGAACTTGAGAAAATAAATTCCTCTGTTTATGGCACCCAATCTGGTTACATACGACATCCCTATCAAACTAATGCAGTTGCTAAATCTGACTTAGGAACAAATAGAAAAAGGGAGGGCCAGCACTGTGGCATAGTGAGTACAGCTACCACCTGCAGTGCCAGCGTCCCATATAGGTGCTGGTTCAAGTCCTGGCTGCTCCATTTCCAATGCAGCTCTCTGCTATGGCCTGGGAAAGCAGTGGAAGATGCCCCAGGCAAAAGAAACAGAAAAATGACACAGACCTAGAACAGTGTTTCTCAACCTTTTTGTTGTTGTTGTTGCCCCCAAGTAGGGGGAAACTATCGAATTAAAATTCTCCTAGAGGTAGGAAATTATATGTTAAGGAGTAAGATTTTCTTTAATAGATTTGAGCCTTAGGGTTTCTGTATGATATTGTGATGCCTAGGAATTTTTTACTCTACCTCTCCAAGAACCAATTCTATTATTTGAGGAATGCATGATTTGTAGAAAGTATATCAGTGCTTTTAAACGTATGGTAATAAATCTAAAGGATATCCAGATGGAACGTGTTCTAGGGAAAACAGAAGTTATTGTTATCCACTGAATTGCATCCCCTCCCACCAAAAAATTTTATATTGTTAAACTCCCAGTCCTTTTTATTAGTACATAGATTATATCTGAAAATGTATTACAGTTCATGAAAGATTAAAAAAAAGTATCTTTTCAGGCAGGTGAGAATGAATGAGTGAAGGGGTGGTTGTCTAATGGGGCACAGCCACGACTGCATGTGGAGATAACTGGAGCTATAGCAAAACCACGGGTCCTGGACGGAGGCACCTCCATGTGCGAATGGACTCTGCACTGCTCCATACAATACAACAAAACCTGGGACTCTATAGGGGTGATGACATTGGACCCAAGGAAGTGAGGCAGGGCATCGTCCTCTCTGTCCTCCCATCTGATGTGAGCCCTACGCTTCCGCTGCCCCCACAATGCCCTGCTTCTTACCCAGGCCAGCTCCTGTGTCTTTGGGCAGGATGAGATGCCGGTTTGGGAAGCCTCCACTGTCCTCTCTCTGGGATGGGCTGAAAAAGGACAAAAGAGAAAAAATAATGAGACACCTGGGGGCCTTGCCATACTAGAAACTTAGTGGGACACAGGCCACTGCACTTGGCTTAGAAGGACACCCACTGTCGCCAGTGCCGCGGCTCACTAGGCTTATCCTCCGCCTTGCGGCGCCAGCACACGGGGTTCTAGTCCCGGTCGGGGCGCCGGATTCTGTCCCGGTTGCCCCTCTTCCAGGCTAGCTCTCCGCTGTGGCCAGGGAGTGCAGTGGAGGATGGCCCAAGTACTTGGGCCCTGCACCCCATGGGAGACCCAGGATAAGTATGTGGCTCCAGCCATCGGATCAGCGCAGTGCGCTGGCCGCAGCATGCCGGCCGCGGCGGCCACTGGAGGGTGAACCAACGGCAAAGGAAGACCTTTCTCTCTGTCTCTCTCTCTCACTGTCCACTCTGCCTGTCAAAAAAAAAAAAAAAAAAAAAAAAAGGAAGGACACCCACT